CATAAAATAATTTTTTCTAATGTTTTTAAAATTATATACTATCGAATTAGGTTCCACTGCTTCATTTTTTCCCTCGCCTTAATTCCAACTACTTGGGATCGACCATCCTTACCCTAAACTTGAGACGTTCACCTATATCATCAACGCTTACATCAGACGTTCTCGTATCGCATTTAATTACATCCTTCCATCTCTTTTTGATCTTCCTCTACCTCTTCTTCCTTCAACATTAATTTCTATAACTGTTTTTACAGCTTCCTTTCCTCTCTCCTCAAAACATAAGTATATTTTCTATCATCATATCTACAATTGACGCTAAACCTATACTCCCTCTTATATATTTGTTCCTTATCTTATCTTCTCTAGTCACTCCATTTATCCATCTAAGCATTCTTATCTCTACTACACTCATTCTCTGCTCTACTTTTTTTTCAACCGCCCAACACTCTGAACTATACATCATAGCTGGTCTCACTGCAGTCTTTTTTATTTAATCCTATTTTTTATTTAATCCTATGTCTTACATCCTCCTCAATACCACCATTCTTTTGCACAACTAAACCTAAACACTTAAATCTTTCCACCTCTCTTATCACGTCCTCGTCTATTGTCACTGATCTTCTCATTTCACCTACCTCATCTTCAACTTTTTCTAACTCGTACTCTATGTACTCTGTCTTACTTCTACTTATTTTTAAACCCTTTTATTCAAGAGCTGATCTCCACACCTCTAGCCTTTGATTAATTTCTTCCCTATTTTCTCCTATTAACACTATATCGTTAGCAAACAACATTCACCACGGCACCTCTCCTTGTATTTTTCTAGTAATTTCAGTTTATTATGTATAATTACTCTCATGCCAGGGGTAACTTTAAAATCTTTTACTTGCTTTACATTTCCTCTCTTCTAAATATAATAATCAATCTGTGATCTATTACTCCCACTCTTATAAGTTATATAATGTTCTTCCTTTCTTCTAAAATAAGTATTAATCACAGGATGACCATACGATACTGCGAAATCCAGGTTTCTTTCTCCAGCTAGGAGTTTAATAGGTTGCAACTACAAAGTTAAATAATTTTACTTTGTTATCAATTAGTTTCTTAATTTTATTTGTGTAGTCTTCTACCAGTCTATAGTATTACAAATTTTTGATAACTTATTACTGAAAAAAAAATGTCTAATAATACGATTTCACCTCCTGGATTTTTTTATTAATTTTATTATATTATATATTTTCTAATTTTTTATACAATAGTTAATTAATAGGTACATATTGTTTAGAATTTGAAAAAAAGTTATTTAAATAAGAAGATGAAAATAATTTTTAAATTTATATTTAAAAAAAACTGTGTTTTGGGAATTAGATTTCTTTAAAGTTTTATTTGCACCATGAAATTTTAATTTTTTTATACTTTTGAAAATTTTTGCAAAACTAGCAAAATACTGTAATTGGCTATTTACCCTCTTCTAATTGGAATACAATTCATATTTTATTTTATTTTTTTTTATTAAATTTACAATTATTCATAAAGGTATTTAAACCAGAAAAAACTTTACATTGCAACTAATGAAAAATATTTCAGTAATTAATGTGAAATTCATCATATTAATACTGAAAGATAATCTAAACTTTTAGCAAGAAGAATACGAATATTTTTTGTTAATTGTTGGAAAAACAATAAAATATTTAAAAACTGCAAAATTACATGTTTTATGCTCTAAGTACAATAAATTAAAAATTTGTATTATGAAGTAAATTATAAAATATTATTAATGCTATAAATATATTCAAATTTTATCATTAATACGAAAAAAAGAACGTTAAATATAAAATTTTTTGTAATAAATATGTGTAGTATTATAGAGTATTATTATATTACTTATAATATATGTAATATATGAATAAATAAATAAATATACATATATTTTAATAATATATAAATACAAATAGTACTTATTTTAAAAAAAATGTAATGATCCATACATTTTTCAAAAAGTTATAACATTATGATTAATAAGTGTAATATGAATAAATACTAATTATAGTTATTAAATTTACTATAAAATTGATATTCAACAATTCAATATTGTAATTTATAAGGAGAAATAATAAAAATAATAATGTAGTTGTATATTTCATTACTTTTAACATGTATAGAAATTAAAAGGGTTGATGCAATATTTTTCAAAAAAGAATTTTTGTTACTTATAAATAAATACTCTGGAACTTTTAAAAGAAGCAAAAATATACTTTTCTAAATCAACTTTTGGTGCTGTTTTCAAATCTGCAATTAGTCATTTTCTATCACTTCTAATTTTTGATATTATTCTTAATTACATTTAGAATAATAATTGAAACAAAAAAAAATTGGTTTTAAATTATTTATGATTTTGATTTATAATATGTTAAAAATAAACAGTCCAACATTTAATTTTTTTAACCTATTTTTTTAATCCTTTAAAATCGATGAAAAATTTTTGATAAAGTTTTGTGAAAGTTTATTGTAAAAGAAATTGAATATGTTACTATAACTTTTAGATCAACTAGCAAGTTTGGAATTGACATCATTAAAAATAGACAATTTTATGAGAATTAAAAAAATGGTATTTTTAAGATTAATATGTAGTCAAGACATTTTATAATTACTATTTACAGTAAATTTAACAGAAATGCTCAATATTTTTTGCATTTTTATCGTAATATAACACTTAAATAGAAATCATAGTAATCATTTCTAAGTAACTTTTGGTGTTTAAAAAGATTCTACAATTGAAATATCCAGAACTGAATTAATTTTCATGATTTACTTTAACTAAAAAAAACAATCAAAATGTTATTAAAAAATTTACAGAATTGAGCGTTTTAAAAAATTAATAAACTACAAAGTAAAATTATTTAATTTTGTAATTGAAACCTCTTATCATATCTTACCTAATTTGACAGAAAATACTTTTAAAATAGAAGTGAGAGCTGAAAAAATAAATGACAGCCCAAAAAAAAAAAAACCATTTAGTAAAATAATTATAAATGAAATAAATAAAAAAGATATTTTTTCTAACAAGGGGAGTCTAAAGTGTACAATGAGTTGAACATTTTTTTTAACTCAAAAAAAAATAAGAAAAAAATGCAAAAAATTCTTTGTCACAGGCGAGTTGGACCTAGTACCCCAAGCGTGTTAGACACAAGTGAAACGGACTTGGCAACCGTACGTCGCATTCGTCGACTAAAAAAAATGGCAATTTTAGGAAATTTCAAAGTTATATTTTTCGACTTAAATGAAGCAAAAAAGTTTAATAAGTATAACTTTCTATGCTATGTCAATTAAATTTAAGAAAACCTGTATTCTACCATTTTAAAATAAAATAAAATACATAACCCAGAATTTTAACATAAATATAGCATATTATTTAATACAGTGAATATTTTCACCACGAAGACAAGTTCAGAGGTAATTTTTTTTTTTTTGACCACAAAGTATATTACATAAGCTTTAATTTAAGATATATGTTAAAGTGAAAGTATTTTCAGATCATTTTCAAAAGTTAATTATAAGTGAAAAAATTAATTTTTTATGGAAAAGTTACCATTTTAAAACCTCGCTTGTGGGCAGGTACACAAAAATATAGCAAGTGATAGGTAAATACCTAAGGTATTTACTAAAAAAAAAAGTATATTAATTTGTTCATTTTAAAAAATTTATGGTAGTTTTAAGAAAAAAAAAAAAGGAAAAATATCAAAAATTAACAATATTTAAAATAATGTAATTTTTTGGGGGATTTGTCCCGTTTACGGGGAAAGAGGAAATTTTTTTCAATTTTTGAGGGTAATATCTTCGACTAGATACAATTTGTTATCTTTTGATGTATTGTTCATCAAAATCGGTCCAGTGAGAGCTGAGATTGAGCGTTCACAGACACAAAAAAAAAAAAAAAAAAAAAAAAAA